TCCATAAGCAGATGAAACGATGTCCACTGTCGTCGTGAAGTTCTTCATTCCTATAATGAAATAGAGTGTGGACAATTTGATATTGACCAGATATCATTTTTCCCCTTTGATGTTCCACGTGATGTGCTGAGCTGCTTAATGAGCGAAGAAATAAGATAGGGTTTTCTGGTCACGAATGTTAATGGAATAAAATGTTCTCAAAATGCACTTCTCTATTTAACAATCCAGAGACCACGTCTAAATGACATATTGCTGGAAGAATTTCTTTAGAGGAGTGGGCGGAAATTTTCTGACACCTTGCAGATTTTTTGAAGAGGTCACCAATCTCAAAAATTCGGCAAACTTTTTTGTGTATCAGTTCAAAAAATAGTAAGAAGTACTGAAATATTATGTGTACCTAGCACGATGTATTAAACCTGTGATGAAGAAAATGCCAATAAAATAATGCTAACTGGTTAACAGAATGACAGATAAAAACCCCTTTTATCCGGAAAAGAGTTTTATTTCAGTGGCCATTTGGATTATTCTCTTCTTCAGAAGAAAAGAAAACTGGTCAGACTACAGCTTCCGAAAAATTGTCCACTATTGCACCTCCTGCCTCCTACATATCGACAGCTCCACAAGGAAGCCAGTCCGCTGCCAATGGTCCAGCGGAGGAAGTAAAAGTACTTTAAAAAAAGACAAGAAAACTCTTGAATTATGCTTTTTGTGGATGATGTGATGTATGATAATAAATGTTTGTGGGACTTCTCATTCATTTTTCAAGCTACTCTGATGGAAAATTATTGCGGTTTTCTTGTCGGTCGCAACATAGCTTCCATCCGTTTCGTTTTATCATGTTCGTTATGCATCGCCTTAGGGATAGCGTCTGAAATGTTTTCCTATCAATGTATCTTATTTAGAAGTCAAGGTCATTGGTCCAGTCTCGCGCTCCGTGTTCACCAACTCTTAAGTCTCTCCTGCATCTGCAAACAGGAGTCAGAGTGTTAAGAACAGCAGTTTTATACATCAATAAACAACCGAGAACCATTGTTAAAGCCCAAGTATATTCAGCAGTCTAAGATTCTTAATGGAGGTAAATTCATGGGTATTTCTAGGGAATTAAGACGCAAGTAGCGCAGTACTTAGAGGTGTCCTGCGAAACGAGTGGGATCTATCTGGCGCATGTGTTTATTCCGATAACATTTAATATGGTTATCGATTGTCTTGCAGTAGTCACTACGTTTCCTTAAAGTCTCCTGATCACCTCCATCACGGCTTATCGCTCGTGATGACACTCCGAGATCCTGCCGCAGCATTATATCCACTCTTCCACTCGTACAAAAAAGAGGCACGAATATCACGTTGATTCATAGCAGAGTTAAAGAAGAAGAAAGATTATCGACATTCTAAGGTGGGGATTTAATTCGCCACTTTGCCAAGTAGACAAAGAAGGCAATGTGTTTTCGCCTCAAAACGAAACACTTAGCCAAAACAAAGTCCCGTCTATGTTTCCCTTTATTAGAGACGAAGTAAGTATAACGGAAACGGTATCGATAGTTGAAATACCACCGGATACTCTATTTCGTCAGTTAGTTCCTAACCGCTTGTATGACCGTCTACGTAAAACACAAAACTGCGTTATTTCGCCTTACGCCAAGGACGGTAACTGCATGAGTTCAGGTACGATATATCTCATCTCGTATAATAGTTGCGGAGGTGAATATAAACGCGAAACGGGCAGCCTTTGTGTATCCGCATAAAAGAGCACCTAGATGGCAAACGAAAAGCAAGACAAAGTACCCCACTACCCACTAGGCACCCATAGGATGCATAGCGTAACGGAGACGATCTTGATATGAAGGCCACTTTGTTTACTTTCTACTTTCTGTCTCTGCAATTTTCACAGTAGAGTATTATGCGAAATGCAACCAGAATGATGCTGAGATATTTGGAAAACTCCGGACCACAGGTGTCTACGGTGGGAAATGAATGCACTATTACCCTTCCCGGGAGCTAGCGCGCTCACCACCACATCATGTGGGTCCATCGTTTCGTCTGTCTCTCAGCTAGTTCTATCGATCAGTGCCAATCACCCGTCAACGGGATTGATCTGGGAAGCCTATATAAAGGTCACTATCCTCGTACAGGATGCCCAGACAGCAACGCGCAAACTTCCTGAGACTTTTTGGATGAATGTGAAGAACTCTACAATGAATAGCAAGGAGGAATGCCCAGACGTCACACGCGACCTGGCTCAGTATCGTCTCATCGACTTTTGATGTGGAATGGTGCAGTCATCAATCATATGCGACTATAATCAGCCGTTCTTTTCTTCCTCAGTGAAAGACACGTAAAAAGGTGCGTTTTTCGAGAAGGTACCGATTGTGTAATCATCGTTCAGATTCCCATCTTTCTATTTATGTTGTTGAAGCGTTTGACGTTGTAAATTACGTACCAATGTACACTTCCAGGCTTTGAAAAAGGCGTTTCTGCCGAAACGTCAGCTACCCCTGTGTTATATGTGTTCTATGTGTATGGAAATAAACGTGTGCTGAATAACGACCTCGCAATTGCTGAGCAAGAAAACGACGCAGAGTGTTTTGTCGTTCATATTTCGATTATTTCTCTCTCCGAAGAGAAATTTTATTTCGAAAAGGATAAAACTTTCAGCGATGATCATTACGTGGAGGATGCGCCATGCATTTCATTCCATTCGTAGTATCGCAGAGGTGACTGATTGTATATCTGACGAGTACATAGTACAACAATATTTCAAAAACGGAAATTTCTTCAACCTCGGTTTAACTAATCAACGTGCAGTCCTTCATGAGCCAAAACGAGGGTTATAAGAAAGCTCATCAGTGGAAAGAATACATAATCGGCAATTACAATGGCTTGTGATGATACACCGTTATATTGAGTCAGTGTTTTCATTCTCCTGAACAAATCTGGTATCAACTTACTGGTCACCGAGTCTTGGAAGGCTTGATGTGAATGGGATGTAGGTCGAACCAAACACCAGTTCTTTAATACATAGGAATTTGATTTTTCTTTAATCTGAACATCTACCAGTACGGTGCGTTACGTGCGAATCGAGAGCTTTGGAATTCTCCAAGGCGGTGATAAAATATCGTCGATAGGCTTCAATATTAATTGATTCTAGAGCGATTTTTCTTTAGGAGATTGCAAATAGGGTGTAACCAGCTCAAATCGTGAGTTGATTTTACGAATTTGACCGTTGGATGTGTGTGTTCGAAACTAGCCAGTTATACTATAAACGTTCTTAGATTACTAACGAGTAGCTTTTTCAATGAATTGGACACTTATATGAGGCTCTTCATAGGAGATTATGGTATTCGGCCATTTGAGCTATAAATATGTTTTTAGTTTGGAGAAGTTTTCTCTTTCGAATTTCGAGAAATCCGTTCATAGAAGATTGTGCATCTCCCGCCATTATATGTTTCTACTTCGGAGAGCTTTTCTCCTTAGAATCTCGAGAAATCCGTATGCGTACCAAGCCTTCGGAGATCATAATCAGAGCCAGCTATTGGTTATTATGTTTGTGAATGAGGTTTGCCATCGTCCGACTGAGGTTTTACTTATACGGCAACGATTCAAGAAATCTTAAACGCTGTGGATGAGCTTAAGTGAACCAACAAATCCAATTAAGTTAGCCAGCCACAATAAAGCCGTAAACATATGCTTGGTAACAAGAGAAATAAAAATGGAAGTTACGAGCACGAATCGACTTGATGGAATGCCACGAGCAACTTCACTACGAGAATCTGGTAGATATGTGAACTGAAACGACTTGTATATTATGCTGAGATATTTGCAAAACTCCGGACCGCAGGTGTGTGCGGTGGGGAACGAACGCGCGCTATTGTCCTTTACGGGGAGTAGCGAACTTCACCACCACATCATCCGGATCCTTCGTCTTGCCTGTCTCTCAGCTAGTTCTATTGATCTTTTGCCATCTGAAATCACCCGTCAACGAGATTATTCTGGGGGCCCAAATCGGCATTGAACCCAGTTATGCTGAGGCTTAGTTATAATCACAATCGTAACCCTTTTATTTACTGCCTTTTTCTTTTTAATGGCAGGGTATGTTGCGAACAGTAGAAATAGCTGAGAGACAGGCAAGACGAAGGACGCGGATGGTGTGGTGGTGAAGTGCACTACTCCCCGGTAAGAACAATAGCGCACGTTCGTTCCCCACCGCATACACCTGCGGTCCGGAGTTTGGCAAATATCTCAGCATTATATATGAGTTATATTTCGCAACATACCTTGCCATTAAAAAGAAAAAGGCAGTAAATAAAAGGGTTACGATTGAAACGACTTGCTTATTATTTGAAATCGACGAAATGATACCGAGAACGTCTTGGTGAAACCAAAAGGCTGTCAAAGTTCCCATGTACCAACACTGAGTGTTTTTAAGATTTATAGAATCTTTTCAGCTTTGACAAAGTTTACTGTGGTAAAATATTTGTAAGCATCGATTATGAAAGAGCACATAAACATGTGAATTTAATCATATAATCAGTACTCAACGTAGAACCGGTTACAAAAACATTTCCAAAAAGCAGGAGATGTCCCCATGATATAACAATAATCAGCCAATAAACGCGACTGACGGCTCAACTAGTAGGTATAGTGACCACACTTCACAATAGTACTGCATAGATGTGTCTCAAAAGTCGCGCATACGTCGTCCGCCATGCATGACTTTTGAAACACGTGCTGTATACGCTAAAAAAAACAGCAGTGAGTTAAGTTTCTAACAGAATAAAAACAAGAAAAACTAAGAACGAAAACATCATAGGGCTCATAGGTCAGCTGTATCACACATATCACTTTAACTAAACAAATTTCATGCAGAAAAGAAAGTTGCTGCTCAAATAATACCTTGTTAATTTACGGCACTTTTATGATATTATTTACAGATGTTATGCGCAAAGTGTTGGGATGAGTGTATGAGCACATTGTGATTGTGACGGAAATGATCGTTATCACCTTTACACACACTGGTAGCTTCGTGTCGTAATCACATATGTCGGATCGCCAAGCCGTCGAGTATAAATCGGTAAATCGCTTCGTCGATCGATACTGTCACTTACTGCTTCCGAACTGCATTCAGAATGTAGCGATTCAACCGTTAAGTGCTCAATATGTTTTGATGATCGTGTCCAGCTTAACAGAAACTTGGAATTATTCTGGTCGTATTGACCATTTTGCAACTTATCACCTACCTAAAAGTGAATGATAAGACTGTTAACGTTGTATGACGTGCTCTGAGAACACATTCTTAAAAAAGCTGTTCACTCTATTATCATATTGAGCTGCATATTCGATGACGGCTTGGAAAACAATGTCAGAGAGTCGTTCTCGGTGGTATGTAGTCGGAACCCCATCATAGATCCCGTAGAAGAACATGACGTTATGATTGTGATATACGTATAGGAGTTCAGTGCCCCACAAAATGATAACCAGTAGATAAACACTCACCTGCGGCAAACATCTCTGAACAGATAGGTAATGAACACAGTACTGAAAAGTGCTGTGATAGCGAATGCACCACATAATGTGAACATCGCCGTCTGATTGAGGCATGTCAGTTGAGGGCTGGACGGTACTGGAGGCGATTCAGCAGCTACTACAATGACAGACGTAAACTAGCCGTCTCAGAAGTCAGTCACCTATCAACTGACGAATTGAAAATGGTTGAGTGTACACCTAATTAACTGCGATTACGACGTTTACTCGTAGAATAAATCAAATTTACAAGGCCCTCAGAAAGAAGCTATTTTCATTCAGAACGACTTGCTACTTTGCAGCGGAAAGTAATGCTGTTAAGGGTGATAGTCATTAAAATCTCAAACACATTAGACATCATGCATCACTGCGTCCTAACTATTTCACTGACCTGTCGAAGATGGCGGATCATCTACGGGCCGTAGAGTAAGCTCCTCAGTCATCACGTCGATGATCTGGTCAGCAAGTCGTCGCCCTGTTCTCTCATGTACTAAAAAAAGTCGATTTTTAAAGTTCAGAGATTTTGTATAAGTTGAGAATCTGGAATAAACTCTTACAAGCTTGTGTGTTCGGTGCTGGACTCGTGCTCTTCACGAAAATTTCCAGTGGTCGATCGTTGCTGATGTCCGGAATCACCGGAATTGTCCAATGGAATAAATTCACCTCTGTTGGAGGAATACGATAGCTAGTAGTTTCTTCTGGCTGGAATAGGATAATATTTTAGTTCCGTGTTGCTGCGATTTAATTTACAATGGCGAAAAATTTACTTGGAAATTTATTCCATAATGCACATGTTAGTACGATCTGCATCATTGTGCGTTTATTTTTATTTGTTGCCTACTCTCTTTCATGACAGTGTGCAATGTTAACTGCAGCCACAAGGATGATGAGATTTAAGCAAAACTTGGGACCCCAGGTTGGTTCCCAACACCCGATCGCCTTTTCTGGCCATTTGCATCATTCTCGTTGGCAGGCGATTGTTAATAGCATCGATAAAATAAAATCACTGTCGAGAGAAAGGCAAGAGAAGGACCTCGGTCGTTGTCGTGGACAGCACGTGACCCTTTGGTAAGGGCAATCCTAGGTTCGAAGTCCACACGAGGTTCTGAGTTTTGCTTATTTCTCGACATTCTTGTGGTTGCAGTTTACTATCTGTATCATCTGCATGACGCGTAATCCCATTATCAATTGAAGGGTACCACAAAATCATTGGGGCCTTTAGTTTGTCTTCAGTGGAGAGGTAGTCAAAAGTTTAGAAAAAGGATACAGCTCTAAGACTTGATCAATCTCTGAGGAATGCGCCATGCATTTGAATTCACTAAGCATCGTTTGCAGGTTATTGGAAGCATATCTGGCCTTTATAATGACTAGTTGTGGCCTACTGATATCGAGCCAGTGGTGCCACTCTTCCAGACAAGTCTGGCACCAATTTGCCGACCCCAAAGGGATAGAAGGGTTGGGAGCGGGGATTGATCTTATGTCCACTGCAAGGCGCCTCCGACCACTACGCTACATGCGCCTCTTGATATTAATAGCAGTCAAGAGCAACCATATTAAATCGGCAATGGAATATATTAGAGAGCGGCTAGCACAACGGTCGTGGTGCCGGTCACCACCAACATAGTGCTGGTTCGATCCCGCTTCGGTCCGACCAGGCCACTCCTCCTTCGGGAGTCGTGATATTCGTATCAGACTTTTCTAGGAAAATTCCACTTTCTTCTATCAAGGTGGAAACATTGTGGACCTGCATCTCAGGACTCCAGGAAGAATCGAGTGAACCTGTATTCAACGTTATACAAGATGAAGGGAAAATTCTTAAGCAGCGGCCGAAGCCACAAAGTTGGGAGACCCCTATGGACATTTGGTGCGAAGAAACGAATCGATTGTTAATGCTGGAATCTGCACAGTAGATGTGAAAGACGAGTCGTATTAAAAAAAATTCAATAAGATGGGATTCATTGCTTCTATTAGGCAGTTTGGTGGAAACGTATAAAATCTGATATCAAACATAGTTTTGCATTAATTAGTACTGATAAATGGGTTGTTCGAGTTTCCACCTTCTTGTAAGCTACGGCATCCAAAATATGAATGAAACCACATCGTAGATGAAGAAAATATCTAGGGGATAAATAATGGAGTGTGTAGTGTAGTGGCTAAAGGTGGGATGAACCTGCTCATTCGTTCAATCTTGTCCACCGGCAACTTTATTTGGTGCATCTATTGATCCACAGAGGTTAATGGCTAGGCCAAGTGAGTATCCACTCACTTCTAGGATGCTACGAATAGGATCGAATACACAGCACATCCTCAAACGTTGAATTGATGCCGGTTATTAAGCTTTTTTTCCTTGCTGTATTCACGGATACTATTTAATTGCTTCCACTCATATCAACTTTAACATACACTTATTTAACCACCAAGTTAAACGAATAACTCGAATGAGTAATGAGTCTTTCCTAGCTGCGATCAGCGGCACCCATGCTTCGTTTGCTCGCGACAGAGCGATTTCAGATAGACAAAAAAAACTGTGCGCTTTTTTATGAGACGCCTTAATTTCGGCGTTTCTGACATCTATGGCTATTTCGTCGTGCAATGTGTTAAATATCGGGATTCGCTCACGAGCTGCATATCGACTCTTTCTCTTTCGAAGTATCCGTGAGGCCTTTCTATTGGACAGAGCCTTAAACTCCCTCCATTTTCTTTCCCCGCTGTGGGTGCACGCTTTTGGCCAAGAGGTGACGTTCAATTTACAATTCGCGTAGAAACAATAAATATGTGAATAGAAGTGCATTTATACAAAGAGAAGAAATCAGTCTTGTATATCATTCATACTGAGTCATTCCCAAAGAGAATCTAGCAGCGCCGAGATGGAAATGCAATTTGACTTCTGATCAAAACCAAAGGTTCCTGAGCGCTAGAATCGATGTAAACAATATGACGCAACCGTTATTATGGCTAATTTTTTCACAACAACAATTGAGTGAAAACCAAGCTTGTAATTCAGTTTTTTGTGGACAAGTGAGGCAAAAACATGCTAAATCCCGCCTCCTTTGGCCTTCAACCAATAGTAGCTGCTCATGAATAGAGGGCACGGGACATCCAGCTCTTATTGAATGGTGGGCTTCAGTAGATAAAGTTGGCTTCCCAAGCTTAGTCACGAAAGGCTATCACTATGACAAACATTACACAGTTCCCAGGATCGACTTTCTATTAACCTCGGCACTGGAATATGAATGCGTCGTTTTCTTGTTCAGCAATCGCGAAGTTTTTTTTTTCGAGAAGCTGTTGATCATGTAATTACCACAGAGTTTTTCGCTTTTTTGTAAGTGTTATTGAAGCGTTTGGCTTAGTAGATTGCATATCAGTATACCCTTCCAGGCTCTGAAGTAGACGATACTGCCGAAACGTCAGCTAGCGTTGTATTGTATTGTGTTTCTCTATGGAAGTAAATGTATGCTGTTTAAAAACCTCACGATTGTTGAACAAGAAAACGACGCAAGCATTACACAGTTTTAAAAAAATTAAAACGTGGTTATTGAAAAGATTCCACTGTTAAAAAGTAAGAAGGTAACTCACAAAAAGGTAAAAGCCACAAACTCTTTTCGCTGATCTTAGACGGTTATCATAGCACGTCGTCAATTTTTTAAATGTCACAATTTTTGTCAACTGTAGCCTTTCTTCAGACACAAATTTAAAAAATTCACTGCATTCTTGATGAGCAAACTCGAGGTTGTTATTAGGTTCTTTAATCGGAAAAGTTATCGCTTCGGTGGATGTCGCCTTCTTCAGAGCCTGGGAAGGTCAAGTTGACTCCAATCTGCCTAGCCAAACGTCTTCATAACCAAAATAGAGAAAATACTAAACCAAGATTTCAATTCCATTGAAAACCAAACAGCTTCTTCGCAGACCACCCCTTTCTATGAGTCTTCATGAGTCCACTGAGTATTTCACATAAAGATCAATCGCACAGAGTTCAAATGGAAGCATCACGTGACTTCCACATTAAAGTATCTGTCGAAAATACTGTGTATTAACTCCCATGTCCGACTTTCTATTAACCTCGGCATTGATTGAATATATCTTTGTACTTCTGTTCAGCAAGCACGAGGTGCTATTTTATTTCTTTATTTACGCACAAGCTGACGTTTCGGCAGATTTCGCCTTCCTCAGAGCCGCTTTCTACGAGTCTTCCACTGAGTATATCGCGTGAAGACCGACCGCACAGAATTCACATGGAAGCGTAATGGAACATTAAAAATTCTGTGTTAAATTAATTCTAATTCTATCTTATTTTAATTTCTAATTAATTCTAATTCTAATTAATTCTAATTCTTCTGTGCTAATTAATTAAATTCTTTAAATTCTGTGCGGTAGGTCTTCACGCGATATACTCAGTGGAAGACTCATAGAAAGCGGCTCTGAGGAAGGCGAAATCCGCCGAAACGTCAGCTTGTACGTAAATAAAGAAATAAAATAGCACCTCGTGCTTGCTGAACAGAAGTAGAAAGATACTGTGTATTAGTTGGTGCACTGGAATGGTAGCGCGTTGAGCGTAGAGTTTGACTCAGATTGGCCAATGAACCAAATGTATTAGTTGGTGCAATGGAATATGGGACTTCGGGTCAGTCTTCGGCAGAGAACAGTTGCCAACTCGAAGTAGAATGCTCGACTCTGAATGAGGACGCCACACGAGACTTTTTGACGCAGACACGGAGAACAATGTCAAGCTTGGGTTATAATTGTTTATATCAATAATTACAATAGACTATACACAATCTGGCGATGGTTAGTTGAGTGAGCTGGCACGATCTAGATTGAAATGAGGATAAGTGAAGCGCTTGAAGGAAGCTGGGCAAACACTGGAGTTGGAAAACTGTGGGAATGGGGCACCAAAATGGCGACATACTAGAGCACTCGAACACAGGCACTGACATTCAGGCACTGAGACACAGGCACTGGAGCACTGGGGGACTGAAACACAAGCACTCGTTTGATGACTACTACTTACTTGATACTTGGTACTTAAATGGCCCGTCCTCACTGGTTGTGCGGGCCCCAGCATAATCTCCATTTCTCGGAGATTTGCTGGTTCTCTGAAATTCCGAGGACAACCTAGCCAAACTCTGCCCCAGGTCTTTACCACCACGGGCAGTCGCAGCCCTTGTGGAACAGAGGGAGATTTACCACCATGCGGATTTGATACCAGGACGGTGGTGGATCCCGGTATCGGTTTACTCTTAGCTAGGCTTCTTGATGAAAACACCGAGCTCTTTCTCAGCTTGGGAGGCCCTGCCAAGGGATGAATCCCCCCTGTACATCGCAGTTCGACACCCAGAAATACTTCCTAGCCACGATGAGGCGGTAAAACGTTGGGAGTGCTCCCTATATTCCATTTGTAATGGGAGAGAAGCTTCTACAGTGAAAACTAGAGAGAGTGCTCAGAAAGAGGTTCTAAAACTTTCTCAGTTAGTACAACCTAATAGAGCTGCATGCACAGAAGGATCGTGAAGTTTATACAATAGCTTATACAGGAAGTACATGTAACAGCAATGGAGTGGCTTTTACAAAAAGTTGGTTGGAACAGCAGATGCTGGAAAGTACATGCAGCTGATAGTTGGTCATTTAGTGCCTGAACTGTGGGACAAAGAAGAGCGATTCATACAAAGGAGTTACAGAATCGCTTTCCAGCCAGCTGCGAGGCATGTGCATGAGCTCGTCACTGGGAGACAATTTACAGAATATGCAAGCATAGATTTCAGGTGGTTACAGGTAACCACTTATCATAGAAAACATACGCTAATATAGAAGAAAGAAACTATTTGAGGATTAGTCACTATATATTAAGGTAAATCACGCGTGGTAATGAGGTATTTCTGCCGTGGTTCATTTTCGGATTCTTGGAATTCACCCGCTTTTTATCCAATTCAAACAAAATTCCAAGAACCCGAAAATAAGCCTCAATAAGGAATGCCCCGCTATCTGACTTGATCTCCTGATCTCACACAATATTTGTGACTGATATTTTAATGTGAGAGGCACGTTACCTATCCATGTGAGAACAATGTACGGCTGATCTCCACATGAAATACTCAGTGGAAGACTTATAGAAGGTGGCGAGTGTGCGGGACGCTACTTCGCATTCAGTGCTATTGAAATCTTGTTTCCGTGTTTTTTCTGTTGCGATTAGTTATGGAGGTATTTGGCCGGGTAGACTGCCGTCAGCTTGACTTTTCCAGGCTGTGAAGACGGCGAAATCCGCCGAAACGACAGTTTATTCACATATAACGAGTAAAGCAACAACCTCGCATTCGCTCATCAAGAGAGCAGTGAATTATTTGAACGATGCCCAGGTTAACAGAAAATCGGTCTTAGAAATTACCACAAAAAAATAAGTTCACGCTATAAATTAAAGGTAAAAGAACAAAGGTGTTTTCCGGGATGTCCATATTTTATAGGTTCGTGGATAGGCAAACGGTAGATGGATTGCGGTGAAGTGCATTCTGGACTTACCGTAGTCTCAGTGGTTAGCATTTTCAATGTTGTTTGGCGTGCCTTGAAATTTTTCTCTTCTGTTATCGCTGCCTTCGTGTGTGTCTTCGCCTCTGTTTTGTTGTCATCGTCTGCCATACCGTCTTGTTCTTTCCGCCATGGATTCATTGTTTCGAATTCGCCTGTATACACTACAAAAAAGACAGCCTACAAAATATTTCTGAAAAAAAAATAAAATTTCTGGGATATTTCAGTTTCAGGGTTAAAAGTACTCAACGACGAGAAACTCGTCCATTGAGTAAATTGAAACTTCTTTCTTATGCTATTGTCTTAGCCACAATCATAATATAATATCTCATCGTACCCATTTCAATCTGGTTTGAAAGGCTACTTCATCACGGACCAACAGTGCCGTGCATTCTAAGCACTATATGAGGAGTAGTGTCATCTCCGCTTTGCATCTCTACTTCAGTTTTCCTTCCCTTGTGGTAGAAGTTTCATAAGAGTCATAAGAGTTTATAAGCGCTTTAGTTTTTGATCTCTATGTATGCCAGTAAACCAATCTTTGAGTCGCTGCTGTCACCTAGCGAGAGATAGTCAACTTCACCATGATATTGCCACAGTGTCAGTTAATATCAAAAGTATTACATAGGAGTGCATGCGGTAAATTGATCTCTGTAAAGTCCATATGTGCACTCTTGTTGAATCGTTACCTGTGTTAAGAATTTTAGCCAATTTTTAAGTCTAAGTTTTAAGTTTTAATTTTTTTAAGTGTTGTAGTGAGCCTACAAATCGTCTTGTAACAATGTCAAGAAGCCTAACGTATTCCTCCAGTCTCCCTACTTATGCTATATTCACTGACTGAGAATGAAATAAACCCACTAGGCTGATGAAGTGTTCCGTCAAGAATGGCGTTTCCTATACCGGATCGAAGTGTGCCTTCGAATGTAGCCATCACCTAGGTTGTAGGTAAAATACACTGTATAGTAGTTAGGATGAGATACAGTTTCTACAACTCTCTTAGGCTTTTTCAACAATTTTTCGGCAAGGTTCGTTATCCCAAATCTGTAGAGAAACTTAGCCGAAGTTAGATATATGGAAGAAAAACTGTCAAAGTAATTTTCAGAAGCTATTTAAATGTTTCTGAGCAATTGAACACCGTTGCTAACTCTCGATAGCTCCAATATGTTGCATTTCACAATAATAATCTAACTGGCAACGATATTCACCACAGAATGTCAGACTTACGATAGACTAATGAACGACTGAGCAGCAAGAATTAGAAACCCACACGGTAAAAAAACTCCGGTTTCTTCTTTGATTATGTAAAAAAAATGTAAAATGTACTGCATTCATCTGAAGTGATCTGGTGTCTGACTACCTGAGTTGGATTAACTGACGAATCGATGATAGAATTTGGTTCGAACTCGCTACGTGTTACCAATGGGCAGTTCGGTGGCTGAATCGATATATCGATCTCTTGGGTGGATATTTCCGTTTGTGGATAAAAAAAGAAAACAACCGTTTTTACCATGTTCTTACCGTCAGACCAAGGCATTCATTATCACGACGGTCGCATATCTGTACTTGACATTGGAACTGAACATTACTACGATCCGGAAACACAAACGCTTCGACGACCATATAGGCTGACGAAAGTGATGGGTCGTAGACGATCGGTCGCAATTGCACAGGAAGCGATTGTGGACAGCTAAACATAAACCTTCGAATAGAAGACAAGTTATTGTTGTTTTTTATCTCAGTTTTTGCGGTATTTTTTTCCATTGATAGATACATTCCGACTGTTCAATTCACTAAAGTTGCCGAAGGATTGGCTTTTTACGCTTTCACATCTACTGTGCGGGTCCCAACGCCTTCGATTCGCTTCCTCGCATCCATCATCTGCGAAGGTAACTTTTTAAGTGCGACTTTGGCTGCTGCTTGAGGATTTTCCTTTATGCCGTTGTGCGGGAAGAGTGAACTCTTCCTGAAGTGCTGAGATAGCCAAGCTAGAGCTTATTGCAGAAAGTGAACTTTTCCCATAAAAGTCCGGTACCAATTTCTCAACCTCGGAAGGATAAGAGGTTTGGTGTGTCTAGATCGGAACTAGCACCGCGCTTGTAAGGATTAGCATCACTACCACCGTGTTACCCACGCCGTCCGATCGATTAATTACAACAATAAATTCCAATAAAGGTTCCCCAAACTTGCTAAGGTGTAACAGACAAAACCTTAATAAAAACTTCGAAATATAGGTGTAATTTACTGTAGTGCGTACAACCAGTTATGCACTTCTGTTATTTTTGCAAGAGGAAAAACGATAAAAATCACAGGTTTTAAATCAAAGACATCCTATTGAGAAATTTTCAAACACTTTCAGTCTAGGGATTGAAAACAGAACAAATAAATTAGAGTTCACAATGTTAACCTTCTATTCATTGCCTATTATTATTTTTTACGGTAGAGTGTGATGTGAAATATAAGCACTATGATTCTGAGATATTTTCAAAACTTGGAACTCAGGCCAGATGGAACAGTGATTACTCTTTCCGGGGCTCACATGTTACGCACTGCACCACTGATGATCTTGCTTCCTCTTTCTCTCACCTGCATAAAGTATAGGTGTTTTTAAAATTTTTTGCAAAAGGTGTTAACTAGTGCTTAAAATGACCGTAGAACGTAATTTTCAAGCAGTTGGGAGAGTGGCTTGTAGTGCTGAGAATACCGTCGCTTGGTGTTTCGCTTTGTCTTAAAATCGTCTCCACTGTAGGCTTCGCTGATAATGTATATAGCAATAGCAATTCGGATGAATGTTTGCTATTTACTTAGAAGTGACGCCATTGTCGTCTTCTTCAGCTGCATAAATTTCGATCTTTTTTGAATAGCTGGGCACAGTATAAGTCCCAAGTGTTAGTGAGAAGGCAACTTGACACACAAAGTGAGAAAATATGTGTAAACATTACTTGGCTGTACGAAGGACGAAGGAACAACAATACCCGGCCATCTGATCAGAAATATCAACAAAGCACTTGTCTGCTTTGTAGTCAGCAACAATCTTATATATACCGTCATCCAAGATAACTACATCTCGAACAGTTGGCAGCAATTCCACAGACCCGCGTTACTCTTAACTTCAAAACTTGAGTCAACTTGAAGTTTGCCAAGACAACTAACAGTGTTCGTTCACCACGAACTTCAAGAAGCCTTTTAGAAACCCTCTATCTGATTATCACATTATAAGATTGCCCTTTTTTTGAAGAACAAAGCTGACCGAATCATCTGTGGAGAGAAAAGCGTCACGTCTTCGTCTATTTTTCTCGGCGGAAAACAAACTCCTTTTGAGAGCTGTATTAGTATCATGATATTGACGATAGGATGTGAAGAATCACAAACAGAAGAGTATGTTTTCCTAACGGCTCGAGATAACTGCCCTAGTGTCTCCTCCCACAGATACTCGTCACCCACTGTGAATGAAGAAAAAATTTTCTACATCGCAATAAGGTTGCTACTAGAGGAGAGGCAATTTTCTGCACAGGTTTATTTCCAACTGGATTTTAGAATGGAAATATCAAACTTCTTCTCAGCTTGAGAAACTTTGCCATCAGGCATGAATAATTTAATGTTTATATATAAAAGTAGAAGAGCACGATAATACGATTTACAAATAAAGACTTTTAAGAAGTAAAGAATGACTTCTTCAAAACATCGCTTGTGGGAGTGGGGGGGGGGGGGGGGGGGGGGGAGAGAAAAGGAAGAAGAAAGAGTGAAAAACATGAAGAAAACCGAAAAAGCAACAGCAAAGAAATACCATTCTAGAGTGAAGGATTTTCAACAACGTTCCGAGCAAAAAGGTCACACTGGAACAACGAAGAAAAAAGAAATGCAGTACAAAATGATTCGATTTCGAGAAAGAAAAGGTAACAATGCAGCAAAATCACATCCTATTATGCCGGCATGAAGTCATAAATATTGAACCATCATTGTTTTTAAATACGAATCTCACCTAAAAAATTCGGAATTGATTAGATCTAACCTCTAGGCCTTAGACCTTAGACATTAGGCCTTGGGAACATTAACACTCTCGCAACGAAGCCTAACCTTGGGCTTGTTGCGGACTGGACGTCGCCTAATTTTTGGTCTTTATGGATTTGCTGGTTTTTTTTTGAAAATAAACAGGTAATATAACTCGTATATAATGCTGAGATATTTGCAAAACTCCGGACCGCAGGTGTATGCGGTGGGGAACGAACGCGCGCTATTGTCCCCTCCGGGGAGTAGCGCACTTCACCACCACACCATCCGGGTCCATCGTTTTCCCTGTCTCTCAGCTAGTTTTATTGAGTTTTAATAAACAAGTACTTTTCGATAACTAGAGAAGTTCGTGGATTGCTAATGTGAGCAAATTGTAGAAAAGGCTTCCTACTCTTTATAAATGGGATTTATGACGCTATTTATCGCATGTTATTATATTCCGTAATACAAACACACTACTGCTAGCACTTGGAAGTGATTTTCAACTTATAGGTCTCCACTTCAGTATTTTTCATACCCATCACTCTATACGGCAACCATTGGTCAAAATAACAACTGGAATTGAAGTGTTTTTACATATCTGTAGTACAAATAGATCCACATTTCATGTATAGTATTGAAATGCACAAATTTATCATGTGCTTTAACTGTAGAATAAAGCTCTTTCCGACTAGCTCCCAACACAGGATCTGTGTTCCATAAGCTATCAAGCATAGGAAAACAGTTCTACATGTTAAAATAAGCCACCGAAAAAAAACTGGGACCGGCCGGTGTTATGCAGTCCGTTCTCGCAGAACCATTTTGACACATACAGGTTTCACTCGTCATGGTAGTATTAAATAAAAAAGTGGTTTCCTAATTTTCAATGAAGTTATTTCACATCGAAGGATGATAGTATAAGAATGGATGAATTTCGAACAGCCTTTGAACATCATTTGCCTCGTCAGACGCATTCCATGCATTCATAATAATGGATGGTTACCATGTTTCGGTCGATTCCATTAAAATAACGTCTCTATTCGAAAATGGTCGAAAGTAAAAATTCGAAAGCTTATGATTAGACGTCGAACGCAAATAGGACACTAAGCCCTGTAGCGAGAACCTGGGACTTACCCTCTTTCGTCAATTATTGCAATCGACATTCCGGTATTGTCAATGGCATTACAGTTTCGTATCAACATGCCATAACGTACTAAAAAAAATTAAATGAAGAACGGAAAAATTATTACGCTAGGTTTATTGGACTATTAAGCAATAACGTTCGAGTGAAAGGATAAAGGCGAAGCTCCCGGCATTGATCAATCCTTGAAGGATATGCCATGCATTTGACTTCATTGAGCATCGTTTGGAGGTGATTGAATGCATTTCTGGCCTTTACAATGACTCAAGGTAACCTATCGATGCATCGAACCAATGCTGCTATTCTCCCAGACAAGTCTGGTACTAATTTGCCGACTCAGTAGGGATGGAAGGCTTGGTGGGCCACGGACGCTAGAGTTTCCCATGTGTGTGCCGCAGGGTGTCTCCAACCACCGAACACGCGCGCGCCCTTCGCTACGTTCGAGTACCACGCTCAACTTACCACCAGTACGACAATCCCATCTGTGAACAAGATTCGCTCCAATAATCGACGTACGAACTCTGGATCCGTCCGGTGTTCCCTCGCGAATCGAGTACTCACACTCGGGCATCAGTGTCGCCTGCTGCTCAAGTGATTCCGATGGCAGGTTGCTGTAATTTGATTGCTGTACATGGGTTTGTAAGCAAACCTAAATGCTAAGCAGGTGACACTATATGTTCGCGTAGCTTTTCCAGAGATTTATTGTTACAACTTAGATCATTTCTATCGTATTTGAGCCGGATTAGTATAATGTCTGACAGCCCAAATCAAACAAACTATTGTCTCCTAGACGACAGACTTCCTCATTTTCAACTCAGAAGAAAATTTCTTTCCATCGATATAAGTGCTAATAAATCTTGTTTTCTTGTAAGTAAGTATACCTGAATTAAGCTATGACCAAACTATAGAAAGGTGTGGCCACTGAATATAGCTAAAAATGGATCATCGTGGTTCTCTGATTGTATTTTACCAAAAATATTACCAGTGAACTGAATAAAAGCTGCACTGTAGCACTATTTTTTCCTTTCACCTGCCGCGGTAATCGATTTATCGATCATCCATTGATCGCCGGCTTACCTCACTTCCATGTCCGTATTCACCGTCTTGTCCACATAAGCATAGAAGCAGCGTACATTATACGCTCGATCAATCTTCGTCATGAAATGCGGATGAAAATTCGTCACAAACGTCAACACATAGTTCATGCCATGAGGTTGAAGCTGAACACTTCGCTTGATTTGTTTTAATTCAGTAAGGCAAGTCAATAATCAATACTGAGCAGAAACTCGCATGAAGAGAATGCGTTCCTCGGCTATGACCATTAATTCACCAAAAAAGGGAAAATCGTCTTAAATAGCTAAATTGTGACTTTGTATGAAAAATAAGCAGTAGAAACGCTGTGACCGTTTCTGTTTATATCAAAGTAGAAATATGACATTTTGATTGCCATTCTGAAGGAACCCCCAATCACCGTGCGGGAACTTTGTTTTCGATTCAAAAGCGCCGGCTGTGGTCTAGCAGGGTGCACCGTATCACGGCTTTCTCAGAATCTTAGGGAAGAATCGTATAAAGGAACAGCAGTCAAACAGTTGTACTGTAACTTTGCTATGGTTCCACTGTTCATGAAGACGAGCTACATAGCTATCAAGGTAAGGGGGCAAATATTTACTTATCTTATGCAAACTATTGCTAGCAGGTGTCTAGTAATGGTTGTATAGTAGAGCTAAGATAAGATGACGTGCTTTTGCAAAAATCAGCTGAATAGGAACCCTCATGGGAAGTACGACTCCTCAGAACACAGAGATGGTAGACGCAAAAAAAAACGAAAGTGTAATAAAATCCATTAATTTGATAGGCACGACAACTTAGTCTTCTGGATAGTGTATTATGCGTATTCGTTCATGGAATTTAGGTCAAATGCGCTGCTAATCTTCTCAGAAAAGCCGTTACAGTAACCCTGCTGCCACTCTTCCGTTGCTGTGTGCAAGAAACACAAATATCTCTAAAATACACTCACATAGCCGTATTTTTTAAACCATTAATTCTTTTTCGTTACCGCATAACCACTCTATTCTGCTATCTAAAGCATTTTAACTATTCGCTTCTCTTAGCTAGTTTTCTATCTACCAGTGCCATCAGCAATCACCCGTCAACGGGATTGATCTGGGAAGCCAAAATCGGCATTGAACCAAACTAAGCAAAGAGCAAGGGCCTCTGTGTATTGGACGAGTCCCCGGAATGGGAAATCGTGGTTCGATCTGGCCTGAGATCCAAGTTTTGCGAATGTCTCAGCATCGCTATTGTTGATTTTAAATAATACCTTTTCGTGAAAATTGTAGTAGGAAGTAAACAAGAAAGAAAACATTACATTAACTATTAATAGATCGTCACCAATCCTTAAATTGTTAATAATAATGGCATCTCAAAAGTAACAATTGGTACGGTAGTGGTGTGCGGTAGTGGTAAAAATGAGTTTATTGTTTGATAGATAAATGAAGAAATAGGAGAAGTTTCTCTACCTACCTGTCTAATTCGTCTCATACCACAATCACCGATACGAACAACAAAAGTTGCACCATTGAAATCATTTGCGTAGAATTCTTGACGGCATAGATCCATACCGTAGTGACCCTTTACATAGATACTCCCTCTGAAAACATGAATATGGACGAGTTTGTTCAATGTTCTTACAATCCTCATCCAAAAATGAACCGAAATGTAATTATATGCAAGCCAATTAGCCTGAAATGACGGGGACACAATAGTCATGTATTATGTGATTGCAAAAACCACATTAACCGTTATGACAATGATACTACCTTATAATAGTACGTCTTACTGAACTTCTGGTTACGGTAACGGCAGGAAGTTACGATTATCGTATACCTATGTGGGTTTGCACGCTGAGTTCAAACAATCATTTGTCGTAATGAGAAGCTAACGCGAAGCCTTTCCTAGAAACCTATTGTTGTTAACGTTTAGGCTTCTTCATTTTTTTCAAAATCGCAATAGTTCGAACCGGATGTGCCCAGTAGTTGCTTCTTGTTATGACATGGATCCTCGCAATCCATCGAATCCAGCCATGATGGAGAAACATTGCGTAAATACAAAGAAGACCCACAATAAAGAGTTCTTCACGACGTCGTTGCGTAAGCTCATGAATAAAGGATAAAGAAGATAAAGCGCTCGGCGGCGTTGATCAATCGCTGAGGCATGCTTTAAACTCCATTCATAACATTGTAGACATGACTAAATAGACATCTTGCCTATGACTTACAGTGAACTGTCGGTGAATTGCGTCACTGCCGCTATCCTCTAAGACAATTACGGTACCAGTTAGCCGATACGCCAGTGATGAAAAGATTGTAAGCACAGAATCGAACCAAGGACCAAGCGTGCATTGCAAGACACCTTTAAGCGTCCCGCTAAACGCGCTCCGGTAAACTTATGAATAAGACGGAATATTCGTTATTCATGCTGAAGCAGAATGGGATTCGGTGCCCAAAGACATTTTTAAATAGTCAAAGGAGGGATCTCTGTTGGTGCAACGGAGAGCACGTGAGCCCCCGTTGAAGGTAGCCATGGATTCGAAGCCAAACTGAGGTCCCGAGTTTTAATCAGTACCTGAGCATACTTTAGTTGTGCTTTACATTTTTAAATAGTTTTGATTTTAGTGTTTATTTACTAAATGACCGTTACCTAAACGGGGCGATAGTACGTATAGAGAATGTGATCGCTTCCTCAGAGCATTGAACGTCCGGTGATCCGATCACCTCGTTTTCGATTTGAGCGTCTATTCGGTAATTACCCGGCAACATCTGAATATTCTAGAAAATTTTGGCATTCCTTAAAGGTTTAAATAAGTAAAGTTTACAAATACGATACAGACAAGTCATTAACGGCGTTCCCAACTTTTCTCTGGCATTTCCAGCCTTTAAAGTCATGTTCATTTTACCGATGGTGATGTTGTAGGTGATGAAGAGCTAAAACGACATTATCGACTGATTAACGCCTATATTCGCAAACTCTCAAGTGGTAGAGGAGGTCCTTGTTGAAATTGAAGACCACTATTAAGTTGTGAACAACAAGAACATAATCGGAATTCATCCTATGTTACAACTTTCCAACTGAGAAGAAATAAACCATTTTGTTGCGTTTGAAGCTTTCCTTTTCTGCACAGCAATCATCGCTCACGAGGACTTACTTCTAGCAGCCAACGTTAGGGAAAAAAATCTCAACGATGTACCTTCTCGACTGATCCGATGACTCTGACAGCATTTACCATAACGTTGTCGATAAAGGAAGCAAAACCTCTGAGCCACGAGCAACTTGAATTATTTCACTTTTCTGGGAAACTTGTGATAAAGAATGAAGGATAAAGCGCCCAACATCGATCAATTCCCTAGCGATGTGGCATGCATTTGATTCCATTCGCAGCACCCTAGGGATGATTTAATACATACTTTGCCCATAAAATGACTAGCAGTGGTCTTCGAATATATCGACACGATGTTTTTATCCTACCAGACAAATCCAGCCCTAATTTTCCGAATTCCTAAAGGATAAACTAGGAGTAGGTTAAATCGGAGGGTAGGAGTGGTATCGACTACCATATGTATATCGGACAGGAACTTTAGCTACTGCGCTAGACGTGCGCTTATACTTGTCATACCATCATGAATAACAGCGAAGAATATCTCTTATCGGATTTCTGCCTTTTGCTGAAAATGCATCATGTCGTTCGTCTAAGCTAATCATTGTCTTTCTTCGGTCATCACGGAATGGATACGTCTGTGAAGAGCGACAGGAACGTCTGATAATAACCGAATAATGTACAAGCTTACGAATATGTGTACACTAGTGATAAAGCCATGAAAGACTACGAAGGAACAGAATTGGCAGTTGGGGATAAAAGAAACCGTAGACAATAAGAGAAAAATCTAGAACAAAAATATTTCCAACGCTGGCGGAAGCTGTGGAAAAACGACGGCCAACATGTTTCCGGAAGGACAATAGCGTAACGCAAACAGCAGCGTATTCCAGAAATTTGTAACATTTATCAGCAAAAAACTTTTATTTATCAACTTACCTGACTGATCACTGTTGACCATAGTTGTACGAAATATAAAAATATCATTATCCGTTTGTTTTACCTGAAACTACACCATAGTTTGAGAACGAATAACTAAGAAGAAAGAAAGGAGAATAAACACCGCCTCGGATGTTCAGAAAATCACTGAGTTTTTTGCTACAAAACACACAGTTTAAAAATAGCCCAATTTTAGCCCATATTTGTTTATTTTTGATAGGATTATAACGTAACAGTGGAAGGAGCAAACGGATGAAATGTTTCATTTAACTATCAAAACTTATCCCTTTTAGGTCCAAAACATTTCACGAAGTGAGCAACAGACGATCTCACTAGTTCCAATCGATTCCTACATAAAATACGACTTATCCTACTAGGAGCATAGGATAGTGCAAAATACTGTGCACTGCTTGAGGCATGGTGTGCCAAAGTGCGGAAGATCACGGACGCCCTAATATAAAGTTCAATAATTAATGCAAAATGCAGTGGGAAGAGTACGATGTTGATGACAGTAGTTGGTGGTTAAACGATAAGACGCTAAAGAACCTTATAAAGTGGAAAACACTATGGAATACAGTAGAACATTCAGTGTTTCCATTCTGACCAATTAACACTAAATAATAATAATAATAATAATAATAATAATAATAATAATAATAAATTATGAAACACTAGGATACTTGGATGGCCCATCCTCATTGGTTGTGCGGGTCTCAGCATGCTCTCCAATCTTTCGGAGTTTTGTTGGTCTAGCCATTGTACTTCCCTGGAGTCCTGAGGTCAGTCAAGCTAAAGTCTGCCCCAGGTCGTCGCCACCACAGACAGTCGCTGCACTTGTGGATCAGAGAGAGATTTGCCTTCATGCGACTAGTTTGATAATAGGACGGCGACGGATCCTGGTGGCGTTTACTCCTAGCTGAGCTTCCTAATGGAGACGTTGGGCTCCTTCTCAACTTAGGAGACGCTGCCAGAGAGTGTAATGAATTAGTAATCAAAAATGATAATAATCTAGGAATGATAATACTAACAGCACAAATGATGATCACCAGGAAGGAAACCTATAATATCATCCCTATTATTGTCCCAATTGTTATCTCTTCTGATTGTTATCATTGTAATTGTACTATTGCCACCAATTGCAAAGAAAAAAATTTTTCGGTGAAAGGTATAACTGATCTCAAGTAGAAACGAAGAACGTTGGTGTAGCAGCCGAACAGTAGCTGTCGTAGTAGTGTCTATACTGAACCCTGTTCACCTAACGGATTGATACACTGTCGGCGTTTTATGCTAACTAAATCGCATGGTGTTCGATGAAATCGGACTTCAGTATAATATGATTCTTGAAATCGTACAATGATTTCCATAGTTAAAGCAAAATATTATTCTTCTATATGCTCAGATGACGAATTTCATCTCGTGTGATGAGCTTTTTATCTTCTTATCCTCAGAGGATGATCTCAGGTGTCGCGATTGCCCAGAATTGCTCATGCGACCGAAAATTGGAAAAAGGCTACTGTACACCTGTAGGTGACGTCAATGGGTCCTCTTCACGCCGGATACCGACACCGGGTGAGAGTAAGACGTCGAGTCAAGAGGTAGATGAGACGTCACTCCTTTAAAAGACTATTGATTACAAGGATCTGAGCTTGTAATTTCTCTACAACTGCGGTCTCAGAAGTTTACGCAATAAAACAAACTTACGTGACTGTGCTGTTATGGAAATTCTAATGGTTACGCTAGTTCGATTGCTCAACACTGCATATCAGCATCGCTAAGTAACTGAGTTTTAGAACTGTATTCGCTCTAAAAAATCTACGCAAAAATATCGATCACTTATAAAACTTAATAGTTTCTGTGGTGGTGAGCTATTCAGAAATTATAAGGGTTTATCATGGTCAGGAGTTGTTCCTCAGTGCCGAAGTGCGAGGTATAGCCTTTTGTGCGTTATCACAGCAGGGTTCCTCGAATAGAGAAGAAGTACGAGATTTGCAGCAAAAAACTCGTCTAAGGGTAAAGGTATTTCGTGGCATAGCCCGATAAGCTATTTATTCTTCTCTTTAAAAACGGTAGAAAATAAAGCATCACAACAACTGTGTGATCACCCACTGGGCTGTTTTGATGCTCTACGAAGATGTATCAAGAATTTATTACTGCTCGTCTGGATTACTGATCATTAGTGGGACTACAAATGGCAGTGATTGTGACAGTTAAACAGTCTGCATTCAAAATTCACCGATGTGAGCAAAAAATGGTCATTCTAGCAATGTTACTCAGAAGTGATACGTTGCTCTTCAGCAGTAATGAAGGACAGTAGAAGATCATAGTTTCTCGTTTTCTAACAACCAACGCAAAAGACTAAACACGTTTACTATCAGGATGACGACATGTAATAAAAGGATGTAAAGTGAGGGATTGAATAGAAGTTATAAGAAGTCCATCCAGTTGATAATAATCATCTAATGCTGTCATTACAACCAAACCATTGGAACATATTGAAAATCGGTCAATTAGTGAAAAGAGAAACTAGTCAGACCCGTTTCTCAATTGAATTTAGTTTACCATCGTTTCGCCACAGATCATCGTAGAAGTGCTGCTCCCCAAGTTACTGATA